CTCTCAGGTGGCCTTGCCTCACCAGTTCTTCCAAGTGTGTTTTCAGGGCTCTGTAACCCTGAGTCGTGTGCCCATCTTCATTGTGGTAAGCACAATGTCTGCCAACGTTCCTTCTCATAAACTCTCCTGGTGTCTTCGCTGGTGTTCTGAAATAGGGTTGGTTTTGAATCCGGTCCAGGACTTTGGGAATCGGGATTCAGAACACTGTTGTTACCGCTTGTGTGGCCCTCAGTTCTGCCTCTTGTTTGCTCGATCCATTGTTACCTCAGCCTCGCTTCGGCGAGTCGTTTCCTTTCTCTGGCTTTATCTCCTTAGTCCCCGATGTGTCTTCCTCGGCTCTGGCATACTTCTCGATTCTCGCCATGAGGTCTTCCATACCTTTTGGCAATGTCTTTGCCAAAAACTTTCATAGTGGACAGTTGTCTTTCAGGCCGTTCTTGAAAGATACGATCGCCACCTCTTGATTACATTCGGGTATTCGATTGAGCACCTCATAGTATCTTTTTGCATAGGCCCTGTGGCCTTCATCCTTGCTGATCTTCAAGGCCATCAATGTGTCCACCCTAATGGCTGCAGCTTGTTTGTCACGAACCTGGCCACAAACATCTTGGCCAGGCCTTCCCAAGTCTTCACGCTTCCCTTCGGTAATTTGTGGAACCAATCTGATGCAATCTCCTCGAAAGATGAGGGGAACACTTTGCGGAGCAACGGCTCGTTCCCACTATACAATGCCATTGAGTTCAAATATAGTCCAATGTGGGAGTTGGGGTCTGACTTACCATCGTATATTTGAAACCTCGGCATACTGAATCTCTTCGGCGCCTCAAACCTGTCTAATTCCACCGAGAATGGTGTCCTCGGCTTATCTGGAGAGGTTACCTCGGCGTCGGCATTCTGTTGTTTCCTCTTGAGGTAATCTCTTAAGTCCTCCTTCGTCCATCCAGGAGCTCGGCTATCTCCTGTTTTTAATCTTTTTGGTGCGCTACTTTCAGCTTCGTGGTGAGTCCTTTTCGACCCTTCTTCATGAGTTGTGTCAAAGCACAGTGCCTGCCCCTGAACATTCCGATGTCCTTTGGGGTCTGCCTTCTTTGTGCGGTGCGTCCTCCGTGATTCTTCTCTTCTTGACTCTCTTCGTCCGACTTTCCTAGAAGGTCGATGAGAGTATCTTTCGCTCCCGTTGTGCTGAGGGGCTACGGGGATTGTTTTCTACCCTCCCTTTTGGGTATTGGCCGCTGGAATCGACGTGTCCTGCAACGGGAACGATGGCTGCATGACATTATTTTGTATCATGAAATTGACAACCGACTGCAGGTCTGCCAATTTGTTTGCCATCTCTTTTACCTCTTCGTCCCTTCGTAAGCACCTATCCTTTCAAACCTGTAGGTCGTCCTCATTATAGTACTTACTTCAATCAGGTTTCTTTGGTACGTTGCTAGTCTGGCCGACGTCTTTTACTCCATGAGCTTGCTCATGAGTTTCTGCATTAGACCTGTCTCCTTCGCCATTAAGGTTAATAGGTCTCTCACTCCCAGTAGGAGTGTCGTCCCCAATCTTTTCCTTCTGTCCGTTACTGGCCATCTATTCTACTTTCTTTCCCACAGACGGCGCCAAATTGTGCGAGTGATTTTCCGATCACACTGCCCAACTCAGTATTCAACTGGAGAACACTGGCAGAATAGATGACACCTGGCTAACTTGTAACAGAAAGAGAAGATTCCGACGGTGGTTCGTCCACCCGGGGGCACTCCGACGATCAAGTCAGTATATCTCTCAAAGATAATCAATAGTGCAAATCTCACTAGACATAATATAAATTGCGTACCTTAGACCCACAGGGGTGCCTTCCTTTTATAGCCAACACAATCTTACTCCCAATAGAAGCCTAGCTCTAATGGACTTAGGATTACTGCTAATCTTGGACTCCTAGTTGAATTAGGATAAACTCTCAAAGAGTCTTATCTTAATCCAAACTAAAATCTTCTCCCATTCTAGGACTCTTGTGCCTTATCCGCTTATCTCGGATTCCGATATCTTTGGAGATAACCTCGGCCTCGCCGAGATAACCTCAGCGTCATGACCATGATACGTGGCACCTCGGCTGACACGTCGGCATTACCTTACCACGTGTTGGTACTAAAAAATATATCCCCACAGTACACATATTTCATACGCATGTTATAATTAAAGAAGAAAAATAATATAATTCTATACTGTTTAAGTCATAATTAAGAAAAAAAAAAGTCATACCAAACACTACATGAGGCATAATCAAACATCTCAAAATAATATCATAAACAAAAAAGAAAATTGATAATAACTATAAAAAAAATGATGTAATTAAGGATGCATAAAATTCTGTTTGTTGTATTATATAATATAACATTCCAAAAAAAAGAAAAGAAAAAAATATAAGCATTTACTAGGAAAGGAAGCACGTCCCCCATCCTAATTTGCTTAGTCAGTGGTCAATTCAATCATGCTAGAGACTTTTAATTTGGTAGCTTTAACCCACTATTAATGAGGTGAAAAACAAGAAAAGAAAAAAAAAACAAAACAGACACAGCACACATTGTCACAGTGAATGGGATTCACTGTCACATCATTAATGATGACATTAATTAGTACTCTTACTCATTTTCCTTACTTGATTAGGAGACGGTGGGTGCATTTTCCTCATTTCCATATTTATATATGGTGAATAAGTGGATAAATATTATGTCCATGACCTCATGTAAGGATATAAATACTTTCATAAGTGATTAAAGTAAAGTTTTTTATTCTTTAATTTTAAAACAATCACAATCTATCGGAATTTGGCTCCACTTCCTCAATCTTATTTTGGTTTGGGGTGTCTTAAAAAAGTATATTTTTTGTCTTTTTACGAAAAAATGTGTAAAAAAATAGAGAAATGATATGATGAAAAAAAAATAAAAAGATAAAAAGATAGATTATATAAGTTATGCCAAACGAGGCCTAATAGTGGTGAAACGTGAAACAGGTGACGGAGTTTAACTCTTCTCCAATTCTACTTGAATTAGAGGATCGTCAATGAAAAATGCATTTATAAAAAAGAAGTTATTTAAGGGTTGTTTAGAATGTCCTAAATAAGTGTACTTTTTGATTTTTTAGATTAAAAAATTGAGAAAAAAATATGGTTATTTGAGTTAACTTTTTGACTTTTTATGGAAAAATATGTATTAAAAAATTATATAAATTAGTGTGTAGGAAAAAATTAGGATTGAGAGTTATGCAGCCGTAATTTTTGACTTTTAGTGAATAGTGATAACCTTTTAACTTTTTGAGTAACTTGTTAACTTTTGGACCACATGCCAAACTTGGCTTTAATGTGTTTTAATTCTAACCACTCAATGAAATAAGAGAAATATCTTATCCCTTATTTTAACATTTCTAATTACATCTCTAATGATGTGACAAAAAATATCAATTAATTAACTTTCTTCAAAATTTTCTCTCTCCTTTGAAAACTATTTGTCACCTTATTAAAAATGCACTTAAAATAGAGGATGTAGTAAAACTCTAAAAATAAACACGTGTCACTCAATTAAATTGGCTTGGAGGATCTTTCAATTCAACTGAAAATGGCAACGAGCCAAACTCCAATTATTGAGTCATGTAAAAATGTTCAAGATATAAATTAATTACTGCAGTATCTCGGGATAGGAAAATCAAAAAAATTAAGATAGAAGGTCATCTTTATGTCATGAAAGTAGAATATCATCTTGGTATGATTCTTTTTTGCTTTGTAAAATAAGGCATTAATTTGTCTTTTAGCTTTGAAATAATGCCATGTACTGATTTTTCTTTTTTTTTTTTTTTTTTTTTGCAATTAAACAAAGAACTTGTTCCTGAGGCCATAAAATTAAGATTTTGCATTTTATCATAAGAAAGTCATATTATGAATATAGAAACAGATCTAATCAATCCATTGGTGAAGTGAGTGCATGATAAGACCGAATAAAGTGTTAAGAATATACTATTATGACACCAATTATGAGCTGCCAAGTTTATAATCAACAAAGCTAATGATACACTTACGTGTTGTATTTGGTTAGAAAATTTGAAAAAAAATTTAAAAAAAAAAAAAAACAAATAAATACTGAAACTAAAAGTAAAATTTTACTCTGTATAAAAGTAAAATTTTACTCTGAAAAATAAGTAAACTGTAAGACTCTGAAGCATCATTCTCTCTACATTTTCACTATGTATTTCAGAGTAAAATTTTACATTCTGAAACTAAAAGTAAAATTTTACTCTGAAAAATAAGTAAACTGTAAGACTTTGAGGCTAAAAGTAAAATTTTACTCTGTATAAAAGTAAAATTTTACTCTGGTTCTATCAAATGAAAAAAACAGAGCAATAGAACCAGAGTAAAATTTTACTCTGGTTCTATCAAATGAAATTTGATGTTTACTCTGAAAAATCGATGGAACTTTGAGCTATGAGCTTTGAATCAGGCCTATAATCCTTGAATCAATCGATGTTTATATTTAAAAAAAAATTCCCAATATATAAAAAATAAAAAAATTTCTAATCCCCTCACTATTTTCTAATACCATCTCTACCTCCTCCTTACCAATCCCCCTTCCAAGGGTATTAGCAATACCAAGGGACTAATAGTCCCAACCCTTTCTCTGCAAACAAACGGGGGCTTTGGTAATACCTTGGTATTACTAGTCCTAATACCCTCTCTATAGCCCAAAACAAACGGGGCCTAAGAATATACTATTATGACACCAATTATGAGCTGCCAAGTTTATAATCAACAAAGCTAATGATACACTTGCGTTGTACTTTGTTAGAAAATTTGGGAAAGAATTTGAACTGAAAAAGAAAAAAAAATGTATAAAACTAAGTGAAATATAAGTATATTTTATTCACATTTCACTTATCATTTTTATTTTCATTTTTCAAATTCCTCCTCAAATTCCCTAATTAAATGGAGCATTAGAATTTGACAAATTTAAAATGCTCATATCAAATTCATTCTAAATATAACTAATATCATATCAAATTTAATTCTACATCACACAATAAATATTATTTTTTTGAAAATACATATATCATTTCTGTTCATCAACGATAGAAATGAAGGACATAGAAAACCGACCCTGAAGAAGAAGAAGCCTCACAGTTGAGTGCTTGGATCAGCTACAGATGGGGCAGAGAACCAAACCATTTTCATTACAGTCAGGGCACCTCACCACAACAGTCTTGCCGTGGTTTTGGGTGCTCATGCTCATCTCTTCTTTCACTACCATTACCATCTTACAACTCCCATTACAGCTAAAACAGGGCAAGAACCTAACACCCCCACAGCCCTCACAAACGGACCCAACCTTCAATTTAGGCAAACCTTCCAGCAATTCCCCTAAACAACCATCTTCCACAATCCTCATAATCTCTTCAACTCCACCCACATACCTCCCTTTCACAAACACCCTAGGGGGAACCAATTGGCTGCTGCTGCTTTCTTTCCCCTTCATTAGCTCTGTCAGCTCCTCTCTGAATCCTCTGTCCATCGATATGTCCCTCTCGCACACCAACACGCCAAGTCCTTCCATCGCCATCCTCACCGCATTGCACGCCTCGAATGTCTGCCTTACTCCCCTCAGTGTGGTCGTGTAGATGACCACTCTGCTTTCCCCGTTTGGTGGGCACAGCTTCTCAAACCCATCTAGCGAGTACTTAGACGCTGGTCGCCGGACTTGGTCGTTTAACGGCTTCAGAACTCTTGATTTGTCGACGGAACGAACAGGAAAGTTAGGGATTGAGTTTTCTTTGTTGTTGTGATCTTTGAATGGGGGAAAGGGTCTGGGGGGTGGTGTTTGGGGGAGGGGAGAGAATCGGAAGCTGTCGGTGATGGGGTCGAGTCCGGCCATGAGCTCCCAGGAGTTGATGACCTCTGGGGGTTCGAAACGGAGGGATCTGGGTTCGGAGAGTGGGCTTGGGAAGAGTGAGCCCAGGGTGATCCGAGGAGGAGGAGTGGTGTGGGAGTCGGAGGAGGGAGGAGGAGGGTCGAGGGATAAGAGGCCATAGGTGGTAGAGGTGAGAGAGACGATGTGGTGACCCAGCGATGAGCTTCCGATTTGGCTGAAATCGTCGTCGTGGTTGAGCAGAGTCGACGAAACACAACCCATTTGTTTTTTCAAAATTCGAAATCTAAGGGAGGGAAAAAAACGGAGACAGAAGGAGTGTTTGTCCGAGAAACTAATAGGGAAGAGGAGAGTGAATGGGAGTGTGGGACAAAAGGTCTGGATACAAACAAGGCCACTTTTCATTTGATGTCTTCAAATAAGGCAACAACAATATTTGACAGTTTTAATTTGAGAATTCTAATATAATTTTGATGATGTGGAGAATTTTTATATGAAAGTGGGATCCACACTCTTCTCTTTATCTCTCTATTCTCTCTCTTCCACCTCTTTAGAATTCCATTTAGAACTCTCAAATTAGAGTTATGTATCATTACTCGACAACAATATGGTCCGGTTGTTTAGATTCATAGGATGGGGGAGATTAGGAATACGGTAGGATTAAGTGAAAAAATTATTAGTATAGTAGTATTAGATTAGACATGTAAGATAAAGAGTATTTGTTTATACGTAATCGGATTAGTAATACTATAAATAGTATTAATATATAAAATTAATATTTTTTTAATATTATAATTATTTTTTAAGAAAAATTAGTCTAAGGTCTCTCTTTCATTTTTAATAATAGAAGAGATCCATAATATTATTTTATGATGTCTAAAGTCCCTTTATCTCACAGTCATATATCACACAGACATTTAAATTAATGACGGGGCTTGTCTCTGTTTCGACACTACTATTCACTCCCAAACAATGAACCAAATAGTATTTGGGTTGCCTGCATTTACTCTTTTATATTACTAACTTTACCAGTCTTCCACGGCTTTACTTCTCTCTCTCTTTCTCTTTCCATATTCAAATATCTTCTCTCTCTCTATATATAAATTACTTCTCTTCTCTTCACAGAAAGGAACTATTCTTTCTCGAGTAAAACTATATCGAAGATAGCCGACAATCCATATCTATTGTAAATGAAGCCGAAGAAGAAGACGAAGAAGCATTGTCACTGTGTGATCTATCCTCCGATCAGCGAAGCAAATCAATCAAGAAAACAAGAAGAAGCTCAATCAATCAAGACCAAGATCGAAGAAGACTTTAATTTCGCTCGTTGGGTGGCTACATTTTGACAGAACCCGTAACGTGCGCCGCCGCATCTTCTTTCAAGGCCAAATTCTACCATTACGTCACTCAATTTTGGAGAGAAATTCTATCATTTTAATTGAATTTTTTCTGGTTTGGATCAGAGAATTTCTCTGATTTGAATTGAATTTTTTCTGGTTTAGACCAGAGAATTTCTCTAGGTACAATTTTCTCTGGATTCAATTTTCTCTAGTTTGATTTGAGGGACCAAGGATTGCTTTGTATGTTGAATTCATAAAGAACACAGACATGAATATGGTTATTGTATCAAGTCTTTTTTTGTAGTATAAGAATAATGTTAGATCAAATCACTAAAGCCATCTGTGAATTTCTCTGGTTGGAGGAATTTTCTCTGGGATTGAGTAAATTTCTCTAGAGTGAAGATGGAAATTTCTCTGGCTTAAATCCAGAGAAATTCTTTGGTGAGATTTTCTCTGTGATTTGTCCAGAGAAATTTGAAATTTTCTCTGGGTCGAATTTTCTCTGAATCGATGTTGAGGGACCTTAGACATTATGAAAATATTGAGTGTCCTTTATACTATAAAATCTTAATACTAGGGACCTTCAAAAAAATCTCCTTATTTTTTAATACTTTTTAAGTACACTTAATTTAGAAACACTTAAAAAAATATAAATTTTGCTTAAAAATCATTTAAAAATTCATTAAATATAAACAAAAGATCATATTTTTTTAGTAAATTTTTTTATACTATCTTTGGTAATAATTTTTTTTAAAATATTTATTTCACAAATAAATTATTTGAAAAAAAACAAAATAAATTTTTTTTAATCCAAGTAGATTGGATTATCAATCCCAACTCTCCAATAAATAAGTATGTTAATCTCACCCTTTGGACAGATTACTAGTCTAATTAGACTATAGCCTCATAATATTTTTAGGTTAATCAAACATGTTTTTGATGAGCCCTATGGATTGTCAATCCAATCCGCTCTTTTAAGAGGCCAAAAAAAACATGGCCTAATAGTTTATATAAACCATCTTAAAAAAAAAAGGAGTGTATATAAAGAGTTGAGATCTTCTCATTGGGCTCTCTTCTTGCCTCCATACTTGCAACGGTAGAGATATACTTTGAGTTGATCTAACGATTCAGGTTTGACTATTTAAAAATAAAAAAATAATAAAACAAATTTAAATTTACTTTTCCCACCTAAATCTAGACCATTGGATCAACTCAAGGTACATCTTTACCTTTGTAAGTGGAGAAGTAAGGAGAGAGGCCAAGTAGACACTACAAGAAAAGTGGGTATATGAGACGGGACAATTTGCGACGGCACACTTGCCGTCTCAAAAAGTCACTTTTTGCGACGGCAGAAAATGCCGTCTAAAAAAAGCAGAGTATTTGCGACGGCACCATTTGCCGTCTCAAAAAAGCATAGCATTTGCGACGGCACAATTTGCCGTCTCAAAAAATGAGAGCATTTGCGACGGTATTTTCTGCCGTCGCAAATACTCTGTTTTTTTGAGACGGCAAATTATGCCGTTGCAAATGCTCTGCTTTTTTAAGACGGCAAATGGTGCTATCGCAAATACTCTGCTTTTTTGAGACGGCATTTTCTACCGTCGCAAAAAGTGACTTTCGCGTTTCTTTTTTAATTTTTAGTGAATATTTTTAAAATTTTAAATATTTTTTTTAGATGCACTTTACTTAGATGTATCTAAAAAAAAAATTATGAAAAAATATTTTTTAAAATTAATAAATACATAAAAATACAAAAAAAAAATATATTGAATTATTATATTTTTGGTATTTAGTGAATTTTTAAAAGATTTTTTTTATCATTTTTTTTAATTTTTAGGTGTATTTATGTTAGGTGTGTCTAAAAATAAAAAAAAATACTTAAAATATTAAAAAAATTCAGTAAAAACAATATAACACTGAAAACAAGAAAGTATAATTTTCTCAAAAGAGTTTTTAAAAAACTCTAACCTAGCACAGTGATTGTGGTTTCGAGACAGCTTCATATATATACAGTCACAAAATAGTTTGAATAAATTCTAGTACTTTTTTCTGTCACAAAAAAAATTTAAAAAAACTATGTCTTCTTACTCTTTTGATGTAACATTTCTATTTTCATTCATTTTTTTATCTTCATGTCTCACTGTTTCTATCTCTCTCTCTTCTCTTTATCTCTTTCACTCATCACTCTTCTTTCTCTGTCTGTCTGTTTCTCTCTCTCATTTTCTCTCTGTGTCCCTCGCCTATCTCTCTTCTCTCTATCTCTCTTATCTGTTTTCTCTCTCTGTCTCTCTCGCTCATCTCTCTGTCTCTCTATCTCTCTCATTTCTTTTCTCTCTCTCTCTCTTATCTTTCTATCTCTCTCGCCCATTTCTCTTCTCTCTATGTCTCTCTCTTTTTCTGTGTCTCTCTCTCGTTCATCTCTTTTCGCTCTATTTCTCTCTCTTTTTGTCTATCTCTCGCTCATCTCTTGTTTCTCTCTTTTTTTCTATCTTTCCCTTTATCTCTCTCTTTCTTTCTCTTTCTCTCTCTATCTCATTTTCTGTTTATCTCCCTCTCCTTGTCTCTCTCTCACTCATCACTCTTCTCTTTCTCTCTCTACTTGTCTATTTGTCTATTTCTCTCTCACTATGTTCGCCTTGCTCACTCTCTTACTCCCATCTTCTCTATTTATCGAGCTCCTTCTCGATTTATCGATCCACTATAAACGACGCCGTCTTACTCTTTTGAACATTTCTCTTTTCACCCATTTTTTCATCTTCCTATCTCTCTGTCTCTCTTCTTTTTCCCTCTCTTACTTATCACTCTTTTATGTCTGTCTGTCTCTCCCTTTCTCTATGTGTCTCTGTCTCTCTTCTCTGTCTCTCTCTCACTCATCACTCTTCTCTGTCTGTCCGTCTCTCTCTTTCTCTCTGTGTCTGTGTCTCTCTTCTCTTTCTCTCTCTCACTCATCACTCATTTCTGTCTATCTGTCTCTTTTTTTCTCTATGTCTCTCGTTCATCTCTCTTCTCTCTATCTCTTTCATCTATCTTCTCTCTCTGTCTTTCTTCTCTCTCTTTTCTTTTTTTCTCTCTCACTTTCTCGCTCATCTCTTTCTGTCTCTCTCTCGTTTATCTCTTTTCGCTCTTTTTTTTTTCTCTCTCTGTTTCTCTCTTTGTCTATATCTTTTAACCCATTTTTTCATCTTTTTCTCTCTATTTTCTTTCTCTCTTTCATTTATCACTCTTCTCTCTCTGTCTGTTTATTTGTCTCTCTTTCTCTGTGTGTCTCTCATTCATCTATCTCTTCTCTCATCTCTTTTCTCTCTCTCTCTCTGTGCCTTTCACTCATCTCTCCTCTCTCTCACCACTTATCTCCTCTACCACCTTTACCACTACTGCAAATGCCATTTCACTACCACCACTACTACCCACGGTCGCCATTTTACCTCTATGACTACCATTACTACTACCATCGCCACCACTCCACTACCACCACTACCACTATTGCCACTACTACTACTACCATTACCTCTCTTTCACCCCTGCTACTCCATCTACTCTACTACTACCACAACTTCACCACTAATCTCCTTCGTCACCACCACCACCACCACCATCATCTCTTATCCACCACCTTTACCACTACTGTCGGTTCCTATTCTCTACCACAAAATATTACCTCTCTTCTCTTTCTCACTCATCACTCTTCTCTCTCTCTTTTTCTCTCTCTGTGTCTGTTTGTCTGTCTCTCGCTTTTCTCTCTCTCTCTCTCTATGTGTCTGTCTGTTTGCTTGTCTCTCTCCCTCATTGTGTTCACCTTGCTCACTCTCTCCCTCATCTCTTCTCTATTTACCGAGCTCTCCACTACAAGAAAATGCACTTTTAGCGACCACTTTGTCTCTCTCTCGCTCATCACTTTGTCTCTGTCTGTCTGTCTGTCTCTCTTTCTCTATCTCTCTTCTCTATCTGTCTCTTACTCATCTCTCTCTCACCACTCATCTTCTCTACCACATTCACCACTACTGCAAATGCCATTCCATTATTACCACTACTACCACTGCAAATG